TGCCCAAAAGAGCCCTGTGAAGTGAGGGTTTCGGAAAAGGACTGCGTCATGGGGGGTTACGCTCCTCTGTAGATTATTCCATGATTAATGTATATGCTGATAAGAAGTGGATTATTGGGAGTGTGACCTGGAGGGTTTTATTCTTACCGCTGGCTTCTGCTCCTTTGCTCCACTTCTCGGCTGCCGTGCACTGAGCAGCTTTCTCCTTCCATGCTGTCTCACCGTGCCATTTCTGCCTTGGAGCCGGCCAACCGTCCACTGGACCCTCGGAAGCTCTGAGCCCAAATAAACCTGTCTTCTTTGAGCTGCACGTGTCAGGCATTTTTGTCCCAGTGTTTGGAAAGTGACTAGTAAAAATGGTAACTAAAACTCTGATTTATTTTCTTTTGTTGGATCCACATTATATCTAGTAATTACCTTAAGTGAACCTATTAAATGGCTTTATCATTTGGTAACTAGGTTCTTAAACTAGATATCTAGTAAGTACATCTCTCAATGATTCTCTATAAATAAACACGTTCCTCAAACATGTGCTTTTCTAAGTATTACATGAAAAAGTCACCTGTGTAACATTTAAATTGAACAAGGATGACCTGGGGGGTAAAATTGTCAAGTATCACCTCCCTTTCTTGCTCTTTACACTTGTTAATTGAGGCTATTTCTTCCCCACCTTCCATTCTTGAATACAAACTCCAGCAATTTTATCCATTGTTAAGTAACACAAGTTACTCCAATGAGAAATTAAAACTCTATCATTTAATCGTAAGAACTTTAAACTTTTCTCTACTTTTTGGCCATTCCTTAACGGGAAGCCTTGGAGTCAGGCTGGGAGAGCCGTCACCATCTTCTTTACTTTGTGATTCTATACTCCCTCTCTTGGAGCTTCTGATATGCCAAGGTTAAAACACAGAAAATGATAGCAGGTAAAGGGCAGGCCAAAAATTTTGTTCTTTTTTAAATTTTTAATTTTGGGAGAGATGCTCAGAATCAAATCAGGGCCTTGCATATGCTAAACACATGCTTTCCCACTGCACCGCAACCTCACCCCAAGTTCCTTTTCTCACTTGGTGGATAATCTCATGCATTGGTTTTGTACCTTATTAGGAATTTTCATCTGAATTCATTGTGTGCAAGTTTTGTTGGTTCACTAGAAACTCATCCACCCCGCCAGTGGGATTTCTCACCTTTGTGTGTCTGGAAAAATTTACTCTCCTGGACACTGAGCATCTAACCTCATCTCCAGGTTCTCTGTTTATCACTCTTGTTTACCCTTATTTTTCACTTTTAGCAGCAACTAAGTAGTCCTTCTCTTACCCTTTAGACTTCTCAGGTCTGAATGTAACACTTGGCATGAGGGTTCTTCCAAGTAGTTTTGTTAAATTCTTTTCCTATTAAATTTTAGGCTTTTTTCTTGAAAAGAGATTAGAATTTACAATATATAAATAGTTCACCCCCAAAATTTTCCTTCTCCCCCATTTCTCTATTATTAACTTCTCCAAGCTCTCACTGGCTTGGCTATACAAGGGTGAACATCTCTGTATCTAAAATACATGTTTAAGTTCTGCATATGGATTTTAGAAGTGCAATACCAATACTTTTGAAGCCACAGTGGAAGTGAGGTTTCAAATGTGATACTTTAACATTTTTATACCAGCTGCCTTTCATACAAGTAGTCATTTATTTAAAACCGTAACATAGGATATCCTCTGATTAATTATAATTATATTCATTATATTTTAATATGAATAAATATTCATAATACTTTGAATATGATTACAACATGAAAAATCTAAATAATAACTGAGGTGATTTTCAAAATACATATCATAATTGGTAAACATATTACAATCTGCTATTTTTCATCGATCCATACACTATTTTCCTTCCTTTAAATGTACTTACTCAATGTCTGATGGAAGATGGAATGTAAGACAGGCAAAGCAATGTCAATCCATTTCCTCACGGATTTGCAGTGTGATTATCTTTTATATGGCACACCTACTAAACATTAGATAAGACCTGATACCTTTACAGTATTAACAAAGAACCAACAGACAGGGGAAAAAAGGACTTGATGACTGAAATAGTGAGTCAGGAAGAGCCTCAAATTTATCAGGAAATGATGAGAAGCAGAAGCTGGAATCCATAATATGCAGAATTAAATTTACAAATAGTAAACACAGAAACTTGCAAGATGGAATATGGTTAGCATGAATAAAGAGTGAAAAATGTGTCTTTCAGTGAGATGTTAACCAAAGAAAGTTTGTATAAACATGTTTGAACCAACAATATTATTGTTTAAAGAAGAAAGATTGTTGTCTCGATTAAGAAAATCCTATGGCTATTGGATGAAATATAATCATGAACCTGTTAAGCCATGGAATATTACTTAAGGGTTTAATTTCTTTTTGTTACATATTTTTAGCTAGCTTTAAAATATACCTCATTTTGTTGATGCTGTAATTTAATAGGGGGATAAAATCCTTACGGTCCTGCCACTGCCATTGTAAAGAGAATAATACTGTTAATCATGCATTTTAAATTTTAAAATCAGTTGCCTATTTGTAAAAAGGATACAAGTGAATTTTACAATGAAATATAAAGAAAATATATATGTAGTTTAGTTACTAAACAAAATGCATGCTAAGAAGTTCTTCACTGTCTTAGTTACTTTTGTCATTGCTGAGACAAAATATCTGACACTCAAAATTAAAGGAAGAAAGGTTTATTTAATGCACAGTTTGTAGAGATTTCAATCCATAATCTGATGGCTCCAGGGCAGGGTGGCACGTGGCAGAGGGGACTCACAGAGGAGGAACAGTTCATGGAGGGCAGCAATGTAGCAAAGAAGCGAAAAGCAGCAAGACCATAGCAGCCCTCCTTATGACATTTACAACCAGGATAAATGCACTTAGGATGGGTAGCACTCACTCTAAGGGTGAGGAAATCTTAATCCTAACCAAAATGATACCAAACCAGTCCATGGATTAATTTAGTAACCACACACCCTTCATCCCCGCATCACACTCCCTACATCTAGCCACCTTTGTAAATCCCCACCTTTGACTGCATGAGGCTTTGGGGGGACATTTAGACACAAACCATAACATTCTGAACTAACTTAAAATTTAATTCTAAACTTATTCCAAGCCAAGGTAAAGAAGAAAGCAGGCTAGGTTGTGAGATGTATTGTCTTCTTAAATTAAAAGTTTATAAGTGCCTCAGGGAAATGTAATTATTCTTAATATTAAAGGGAAATTAATCCCGTACATCTATTTTCAGAAGATACTTTTGTGATATAGAATGGATGTCCACAATAGCACTGATAGACATAGGCAGCATATCTATATAGGGATAGAGACTAGATGGATGTTTACCTACTATAGTAAACACAATTTTGTAAGGTTCATGTATGCTTTTTGCTTGTTTTATTTTTTAAATGACATCCCTGAACCAATAAGATCTAACATATTTATGACAGTCTCTTTGCCCTTCTCCTGTTCCAGCCTGCTCTTCAGGGAGTTAACCCCTTTAAGACGAGTTTCCCAGATTCTGAGTCAGCCTCCTGCTCTATTTAGCCAATGAAACAATCACTAGAGTACTGAAAATCCGGAGGGAGGGAGAAGCTGTGGTACTTCTCACCCTTTCTATCTTCTGTGGAGTCTCCAGCTGAGACTGCATCCTTCTCTCCGCTTGTGTATAAAGTTCCAGCTTCCCCCAACCCTCCAGCCTAAGTTTAGTAATGGCTCCATTTCTCGACTTTGTTTGCATGCCTTGATTTTTTTTCTCATTATTTATCATCAAGGGGATTGCATCTCTCTATTTTAGATGCCCTGTACTTGAAATCTACATGAAATTTTCTCTTTCACTGTCTAGATTATGACTGATACAATCACTCATTATAAGAAAATGGGATATTTTTTAGGTTAATTCAGTATAAATAATTTTGTATTGGAAAATATATAAAGTATCATTATCTGCATATTTCATATCCAAGAGTGCTTAAACAGTGAACAGCAAACATAACAGTGTGTAAAAAACACATTCCTATCAGTCATTCATACATTAAATACATCCTACAAGTATAGGATCAGAATTCATCAACATTGGAACACCTGATACTTCAGCACATGCATTAAATAATGTATGCTCAATGGGTTTGCCTTCCTTGAGAAGATCTTTTCTCTGCATGTATGAAAGTTATATGTGGAAGTAATATCTACTCTTCACTTTCCATTTCTTTGTATCACCACATATGTAAGCTAGGAGACTATTAAAAGCTCAAATTGTATGTTAATAATGTAACAAACACTTTCCAGTTGTCTACAAATTATGTGATGTCAATAAATTTTTCCCAAGAACTCAGACTTAAGGGCTGCATAAGAATAGTTTTTTTATCACTTCACTTTTAAGTAAACTCATTCTGACCAAGGAGATCATATGTGAAGTCACCTTAAAGAGATAGAAGAGCCTTTCAAAGTGTCTGATGTGTGGAATCAGGAATGTTTAAATATGCAATGCTAACTGAGTGGCTCAGGAAGGCAGGAGAGTGAACACTACCAGTGCACATACCAGTGACTAAGAACAGTTACCTGAGCTCATAAAGTAGGTTTATTTTATTCTGATATCACAAACATTTTCAACCTCATGGCTAAAGCCCTAGTTGTTATTATATGTATATGTGACAATCTCTGCATCTTAGCTTGGTCTAACTGTGTTTCTTAAGAGAAAATGCATTGGCTAGAGTGCTTTGTCTCCTCTGTAGTCACAATTCTTATTATCACTTCAAAAAACCCACATCATAAATCTGTATTGCAGTAGCAGAAATCTGAAAGAATATACCCCTCTCTGAGGTTTATTTTCTTGATGTGCAGGCAAGTTATATTTCTCACTTTGGAAAGCTGATTTAAACAATGGAGAAATCATTAGCTCAATATCCCTGTGAGACATTTTTTTCCCAGGGATTATGTCCCACCAGCATTCATTTCCTTTGCTCCTACCTGAAAGACTTCTTGATATCTTCTGCTTGGATTGTCTGGAGAATCTCTTGGTATAACTGAGGATCAACTGTTCCTGAAGATATGGCATCTGAAGGGCAATTTGTATGTGCATAATAACCTACCAAAATTCCGAGAATAAATAAAATGGTGGTTGTGCAAAATATTTTCAAAAGGCGACAAAAGTTGCAGCGGTTGCTCTTTGGTACAGATCTTGTATAATGGGAAACATAGTCAGATTCTTCTTGTAGCCGCTGGAATCTTCCTTTTGGTGAAGTTGCTGGCTGAATGGAATCAAGATTGAGGTCCACAGACTCTGGGTGCTCTAGGTTTTGATTCTCAGAACTGTCAAGTTGGAACTGGTCAAAACCAGGCTCCTCCAGTTCCTTCTCCATATCCCACTCTAAATCAAGGGCAGTGGCTTGAAGGTCATCATTGTCTAAGTACTGTGAATGTCCTGACGCTCTTTGATCTGCACTGATCTTCTGGTAGGCCATCTTTTTACCTGCGAATATAAGAAATATAACTTCTTATGAAAACAAACAATATGCCCAATAAGTCATAGTTTACTAGTGACTGTAATAAAGGGAAATACATTCTCCCTACAGAGGTCATATTTAAGATAATTATTTAATCAGGTTTTCCTGTGTTTGTGGCTATAGAGAAGGAAGATTAAAAACAAAACAAGTCATTTTGTGGAAAGAAGATAAAAAGCCATTGAAGAAATTACACACATACACAATGAAGCTTTGAAGTTCAGGAGATTAACAGAAATCACAAGTGTACAATTGCATTGGAGGAAAATGTATTACAATGAAGGCAAAATTAATCTTACATATTTCAAAATAATTTTTAAAAATTTAGGGCAAAGGCAATACAGTGGTCACTTGGTAAGTTGGGAGGAAAAAAGATAAAAGATCTTGGGATGATTATGCTAGCAGAGCTACTTTTCAAAACACAAATTTAAGGTAAGAACAGATTGATATACTAAAAAATATTCAACCTATACAACTACAATAAGCAAAATATGATGTTATATAGTCACAGACTGCTAATAAAAGTGGAAAATTTGAAGGTTACCAGAGAGCACTGAATTATTGTAACGAATTTATGACATGAATTGGCCTGGCTCGGTGAACCTTAAATAAAAGTTCTGCATGGCATCAACCCCCAAATGAAACTCTTTCATCAGCGTAGGAGACTTTTAGCTTCTTCACCTTAGAACAGAAGTGGCAGATGGAGGCTTTTCTCCCCTACAAAGTTTTTGATGACAGTTTGTTATATCCTGCGGAGCAGTATTAGGGTAACTGGGCTAATTAACTGTAAGTGGTCTGAAGTCTGTTTTCAGTCACTCACTGGTGTGTCATGGTTACAGACACAGGGTATTTACCCTTAGATTTCCTGTGTATTGGATTTGTCACCCCAGTTGGATGCGAAGTTCCCTCACAATGTTTTGAAAATTTTCTGTATATCCGACGGTGGTGGTAAAGAACAGAGCTCAAATGATAATCGATTAGTTAATTGCTTAGGGTTAAAGATTGACAAATGAGCTCTAATGAAAAAAATAACATGAATTTCATGAAAATAAGTCGCTTTATTCACAAAACTATAGTTATCTATAGCACCAAGCCTGGCTAACAGATGCCCATAAAATGCAAGATTCTGAATTTCTTAGTTTCAATACAATTAAATATTAAATTATGCAAAAATCATAATTCTGACTATAATATTCATGCTATACTATAATGCAGGGTGGATTCTAATCCAGGATTGACTCAATAAAGGTGAGTATCTCATGCATGTGACACTTGGAGAGGCAAGAAAGACAAAGATAAATGAGTTACTATTCTTCAAGTACACAACAGTCCAATCAGAGAGGATATTACGTGAACAAGGAGGTTAAATGCAGTATGCAGAGTTCCAGCATACTTGTGGGAGATTGATTCTAGAAGAAAATATAACACCAGATTCTTCAAGAAAGTGACTCAAGTTCCTTTGGGCAGTAGCAGAGAATGTGAGAGGAGGGTAGCAAGGCAAGGAAAGTGAGAATGGCCTGTTTGAAAAATGTATAGTGGCATGCTATGGCTGAGGATGAAATATGGGGCCCGAGATGCTGGGGCAAAGACAGGAAGTGGTGATAGCAGGCAAGATTAATGTCTCTGCAACCCAAGGCTGTCATCTGCAAAGTGGGCACAGCAGTAATATAACATTACAGGCCTCATAGCATCATCATTAGGGTTAGCTGAGACAGTGAAAACTAACACATCCATTGAATGTTCAATAGGTTGTATGAGTTGGGAAAAATATTCCTGGTTTTAAAGAAGAAAAAAAATCATTGGAAGAAATGAAAGAAGTTAAATAATGCTGAATAAAATATGTAATTGTGTAAGACATTATAAAGAAGGCTACAGATACACACATATAGCCTATAATCCTTTGATTTCTTCTTTTTTATTTATTCTATATATAGAAACTAAAATAGAATATGTTAACTGTTGTCATGCAGATGATATTTGGTGTGGACTACAACATCAAGGATAGTTCTGCATGCTTTTCTTCCCTTCCCTTACTCTTTCTCTTCCAGATCATTTTTGTTTTCTTTGACCTTGTTTCCAAAGTGACTCAAGAAAATGCAGCAAACTCTGATTTCAGTCACTTCTGAAGAAGAGAAATGAAGCAATGTATGGGATGAATGATAATTATTCAGACAAAGGAAATGATGGCTAAAGAACTATTTAAAGAAGTAACCAAATAATACATGATTTAAAGAGCACATTTAACAGAAAGTACTAGATGATACTAAAAATCTGAAGGTAGTAGAATAGAGGCTCTTTAAAACCCATGATCCCAAATCGATTATGTCTGTTATAGAAGATGAAACTGTGATTCAAAATTAAATAACCCAATTAGGACCAACAAAAATGATGGTTGTGTACGTACTCCACAATGTGACTTCTGTTTTTATAAATATGATGACAAATTTGGTGGTAAACTAAGGTGAAATACCTTACTAACCAAATTATTTTAATGTGCATTATAAACTGCAATTTCTTAGAACTAAGTATTTTTTTTCCCTTTGGTTTAAACATCAATAAATTATCATGATCATGGCATGATATGATATATACAGCTTGAAATTTTCAGCTTTGCTTATTGATTAATTTACTACAGATGCTGTCTCAGTGAAGTTATCTATATTTTTCCCATTTTAATGAATGGGTCTCTCTGATAGCTTTTTTAAAAAACTGAATTATAATGCATGATTTGTTTTCAAGGAAGACTTGGGATATGAGAGCTACTACAGAAATGTGAGGTTTCTAACCCTGACCTCTAGTACAAACATTCAATGTCATTGCTGCACAAATCATTTGAAAATCAACTGCAATGATGAGGCAAAGTTTTCATTTCTAGCTTGACAATAGGCATTCCATCACAGGAACATCAGCAATTTTACGCTTTTCAAATATCAGACAGAATCATCAATTAGAAGGTAATGCAGATACAGATATTAACTCCTCACTAAGATGGATATCTGGCTGACACACTTACTACCACTTTTAGATTCATTACACATTAATAAATTTGCAGAAAATTCCATTTTCCAGGAGACTACTATCTGGGTCAAAGGCAAATAAAGTCACATTAAACAACAAAACTCAAGGTATTTAGGAAAATTCTTAAGTAAATGAGTATATGATAAAATATGTAATGAAAGATTTTAATCATTTCCTTTGGTAAATGGAATTATGCATATTACATTATACATATTAAATACATGTATTCATAAAATATATTTTATTGTTACAGATGTAAGTATAGATCTAAATGTAAAGGCATATATTAAAACTTAGTAGTTTATTTCTTTAAAATTTTTCCCTTACAAAAAATATTACTGACTTCTTTCAAAAGTCTAACACACAAATATAATTGACCTAACACTTTTATTTCATTTAAAATAAATATACAACAAACCATCAAAACCAAAGCTAAGTAAAGCTTTCACAGTACACTCAATTTTGAGACAAGGCAAATTATTTCATGTGTTTCACAAGGAATGCAGCTGTCTTTAAAATACCTATGCCTTATGTGAGACAAGTAAAGGAAAAGGACATTACTTTTTATTAGAATTTTCAAATTCTCAAGTGAGTTGAAAATATAAAAGAGAAATCTTAGTTATGTCTTAAATATAGTTATATAATTATGTCATTCAAACTTCATATTTTTATATTACTGATACATGAAATTTACTTAATTTAAATTGTCATGTAATTTTAAGGTTACTCCATGTGAATGATTTAAAAAACACATGTAGCAGAGTTTTGAATATACCATATAAATCTTTCTCCAAAAAAGATGCAATTTGATATAGAAAAGATCATAGAAATTTAAGACTTTTTTTCTAATGGAAGTATCTATAATATCCTTACTTTCTGTATTGTGACACTTGGTCTTTTAATAAATCCAAATTTTATGAAAAAGTATTATATATTCTCCTTGTTTTCAAAATGATCTCATTCAATACATAAGCCCCCTCCAACCCAGGGTTACTATGTAGGCTAAATTGTTTTGAAAATACAATGTACTAAGACAATTATCTTTTATATATACTTGTACCTCTATAAGTAAAAAAGCAGATACAAGTTGAGCTAAAAATTATTTTTTTAGAATATAACAGGCTTAGATCAATAAAAATGAATTCATATCCATGTGGAATATATTACTGAATTAAAAATAACAAAGCTTCTGAACACTATTTCACACATGCATACCGGCTAAAGCTAAGTAAATTACATAGGATGCAAGAAAATATATTAATAGCATCGAAATTTAATATATATTTAAAATACAATATCTTGCTGCTACAGATCAAGCCCAACACAGGGGTTACCAAATATTTTTGATAATAAATACATTTTTTTCAATTTTAAAAATGAAAGGAGGAAAATATTAACAGAGACAACCTTTTACAAAATAGCAAAAGAACACTACAGACAATACAGAGTTACAAACAAAGTGGTAGGAAATTAACAATGCTTGTTGTATCACATATTGATATCTTCCAAGTGGTTTCTCATGAAAACAGATAGAGACATGCAATATGGACCCATCAAGGACTCATTGACAGTTTCTTTTAGCAAAGAAATAAAAGACAGTAGAACAACTATGTTAACTATACTGTATATATGCATACATACAAAATGTCTCCTTCTTTCCCTTCTCTTTTCCCACATCCCAGTTGCTCTTTACCCTTGAGTGTTTTCCTATCATTTCAAAATGTCTGTCATACCTCCTAGTTTAAATTAACTCTTTCAGGGGCTGGGGATTTAGCTCAGTGGCAAAAGCGCCTGCCTGGCATGTGCAAGGCCGTGAGTTCGGTTCCCGGTACCAGAGAAAAACCAAAAAAAAATTAAAAAAAAAAAATAAATTAACTCTTTCAGGTTTTACAGTAGTGAAACAATGCAGTGCTTGCACATGTAGGTCTGATTTATTTCACTTAAGAGTATG